CAATAGATATACAAAACACTTGGAAATAAATTTAACCAAGAAGATAAGAGAGAACAACACTGGAAACTATAAAACAATCACAGATAGTGAAGGCACAGATAAGTGAAAAGATAGTACGTGATCATGGATTAGAAAAAGTTACCATTGTTAAAATGTCTACACTACTCAAAGTGATCTACAGATTTTGTATAATTCCTTTCAAAATTCAAATGCAATTTTCATAGCTATAGAAAAGCTGAACCTGAAGTACATATGGATTTACAGATAGAGCAAATCACAAACCCCAAAAGAATAAAACTGGAGGCATCTTATTGCCTGAGTTCAAAGTCTACTATAAAGTGATATTAATTAAAACCACATGATACTGGCATAAAAATAGACAATTTGCCCAATGGAACCAAATACCCAGGATTGAACCTACTAGTCGATGAGCAGTTGATTCTTGATAAAGATGTCAAGAATCTATATCTCATCCAATAAACAATGTGAGAAAACTGGGTCTTCAAATGCAAAGGATTGAAACAGAATACTTAGGCAACATATAAAAACCAACTGCTAATGCATTACAGATTCAAGTCTAAGACTTGATGGTGTAAAACCACTAGACATTATACTACACACTACACTATACTATACATTACACAAGCAAAAAAATAAAAGAAAAAATGGACATAGATTATATAAAAAGTTTTTTCTTCATGGCAAAGGAAAGAATAAAGAGAAATACAAACCGGTAGAAAATATCTGTAACCCACACACTGATTTGGAACTGACATCTAAAATCCATGAAGATGTCAAGCAACTCCACAGTTGAGAAGCAATCCATGCAAGAAAAGGTGAAGGGTTATAAATAGTTTTAAGTGAAGACACGTGAATGGCTCATAGCTATGAGTCTCACCATTCATTAGGGAAACACAAGGTAGAATGCACTTTACCCCAGCCTCTTAGAGGATTTGATGATGAGTCCTCTGGTGAGGGCGTAGAGAAAGGGGAACACTTGTATACTCCTGACAGGAATGTAGAATAACACAGACATTATAGAAAACAACACAGAGATGTCTCAGAAAAACCCCAACAATCACTGAATCATCCAACAATTCATTTGTGGGTATTTACCTGAATGCTCTAAAATCAGTACACCAAAGAAATGCCCGCAGCTTCATGTTCACTACTGTGCCATGCACATTGGCTATAGTAAGAAAAAACTCAAGGCCCACCAGGAGATGAATCAGGTAAAATGAAAATCTTTTATTTGAGAGAAGGCAGATGTAATTGGAAAATATTATGCTACATGAAATAAACCAAACAAAGGCAAACATCACATGACATTATTTATGTGTAGAATCTAAAACAGTTAAGCTCACATAAGTAGAGAATGTAGCAGTGGCTGCCAGAAACCAGATGGATTAGGATAGTATGGAGGGCTTAATGTCAAAGCATCAGCATTTGGAGATCTATCCCACTGTGGTAAATATATAGTTAATAGTTAAGGGTTATGCATTTTTGTAGTATGAATAGAATAGATTTCAAATCTTATCAACACAAAATTGTTAAATATTGAGGCAAGTAATATGATAATTAGCTTAATCATTCCACATAGACATATACATAACCCCCATAAGCACACACACCCTTATAATTTGTCAGTGTGTAATAAAGTGGAGAGAAGATCTCAGATCACTATGAGGCTACACTGAGGCAAAGAGGTACACACTACCAGAAGATGAACGTGCTTTCACCAAGCAGATGGAGGAGAGATTATTCAAGCATTTGGATCCTGGGTATATTGTAAAAATAGCATGGATTAAACTTTCTAATAGATTGACATATCTATTTATGTATAATAAAGAGCCTACTAATCTCCACCTTCCCCCATGTTGTAGGAAAATGAAATGGAAGAAGAAACTGTGCCATTCCAGACAGCTAGGAAAGGGGAACGACCTATCATGCTGTCTGCAGAAGGCAGTGACTAAACACACATTTCACCTCCTCTGTGGCAGAGGGATCCATTTGAGTCTATCACTTCTTGGGTTATTGACTTACACTCTATTTTTTTCTATCTACCCATCTATCAACTAAACAACTAACCAGAGAGTTTATGTGTGTTTGCTTCATTCTGGTTTTATGAAAATCTAAATGCGGAGTATGACAATATTGACAGCAACGAAGTTTTTCTTAGTGACTGTTATTGATTACCTAGTTTTCATACATTATCTCGTCTAGTCATTATAACAATGGGGGGGGGGACTTTATATCACTGCTTCCTCTTGGCCAATGAGGAGGCAGAGTCTCAGTAAAGATAGATGACTGCGAAAGTAGCACAGTAAATATACTATATTTGCTCCAGACCATTTTAGGAAATGCAATCCCTGTGTTGAAAGATCTTATGAAATGTAGTTGGTTGTTTTGGCTCTTTTTTGGGGGGAGGGCACCACCCAGCTTCCAAATAAATCATACAAGGAGGCTTATATTTAAATATGACTGCCCAGCCTTAGCTTGGCTTGTTTCTAGCCAGCTTTACTTAACTTTAATTATCCCATCTACCTTGTGCCTCTGGGATTTTCCCTTTTCTATTCTTGTATACCTTTCTTGGTCTCTTACTCTGGGGCTGGCTGTGTAGCTGGGTGGCTGGTCCCTGATGTCCTCCTCCTTCTCTGGCTACTTCTTCCTTGATCTCTCCTCCCAGATTTCTCCTTGTATTTCTTCTCTCTGCCTGCCAGCCCCGCTTATTTCTCTCTCCTGCCTCGATACCGGCTGTTCAGCTTTTTATTATTAGCTTTTGATCAGGTGTTTTACACAGGCACAGTAACACAGCTTCACAGAGTTAAACAGATACAGCATAAACAAAAGTAACACGCCTTAAAATAATATTCCACAACAAAGAAAGATGTTAATTTTCTTGGTGGTGGCGCACGCCTTTAATCCCAGCACTTGGGAGGCAGAGGCAGGCGGATCTCTGTGAGTTCGAGGCCAGCCTGGGCTATAGAGTGAGTTCCAGGAAAGGTGAAAAGGTACACAGAGAAACCCTGTCTCCAAAAACCAAAAAAAAAAAAAAAAAAAAAAAAAGAAAAGAAAAGAAATTATCAGTGAACAAGGGATATACAGATATTCCTTTTTGTGTGTAATCTAGAAGTCAGGGGAGAAAGGGAAAGAAGTAGAGAGGGAGGGGGAAGAGGGGGAGAGAGAAAGAGAGAGGTTTTATTTTGAAATCTGGGTAGGGTTAGGTGGACTAAAATGAGGTGTGGGGGCATGGGGTGGTGCTGAGTGCCATCTAATTGCAAGTCTGAAGGTTGGCACGGGTGATGTAATTAGGGAGGAGCCTGACACAAGAGGATCGATGCACATCTGATACATCTGATCTCACAGAGACTGTGTCTGTGCGAAAAAGGCTTGTACAGGTTCAAACACACAAAATCCCTGCACTGAGAAGGGAAGTGGACACAGTGACCCACTCCTGACCAAGAAGCTATTTCCAATTGAATTGATACATACTGGGAAAGGAAAAAAGAGTTTTCTACAACTGAGTGACACTGGGTATATGAACCATATCCCAGGGCAGGTGCCATGCCCACGAGTAGTTGGCTAACAGAAAAGGGACTCCATGTTTTCTTTGTGTGTGTACTTTTTTTTCTTATTGGGTTTTTGTTTATGTTGAGAGAAAGAGAAAAAGGACACAAAGCTGAGTGGTTAGGGATGTGGGGAGATCAGAGAGGAGCAAGAGTATGATCAAAACACATTGTATGAAAAAAATTAAGTAAAAAAACATGAAAAAAATCTAACTTATTTGGAGTTCACACACAGACACAGGTATCTGCAGTAGCTGAGAAGTGAGCAAACCACTTGCAGGGCAGAGCTGCCAAGTGTTTTCTTCGATCTGCTGCAAGATGCTCATTCATAGCGTGAAATAAATTGCCAGAGCCCCAGGAAGATCAGGAGGAAGCAGTGCATGAGGGAGAGATCCCAGCACTGGAGCAGCATCTCCCAGGAACCGCTGTGGGCCTCTGAATGGAAAAGTCAGCTCCCAGCCCCTCTCTGGCGTCATCTCATAGCAAATGTGTCTCCTCACCCGTCTCTTTCCTTCTTCCTTTGCTTCTCAACCGTGGTTATCAAATGGGAAAGTTCATTGTGAAAAACGAGAAAGGAGAACCAGACAGCCATGTGCTTGCCTCACCCACAGAGTAATTTAGAGAGACTTTGATGAATACATCTCAAAGTCACACTTTCTGCACCAAATATGACTTAAATTTAGTTGATGCACAATTATGCTGTTGCCACTTAGTCGCATGTGTATTAATTTTGGTTTTGTGGTTTATTTTATTTTAAAGATTTATTTTGTATACAGTGTTCTGCCTGCATGTATCCCTGCATTCCAGAAGAGGGCACCAGATCTTATTACAGATGTTTGTGAGCCACCATGTGGTTGCTTGGGAGTTGAACTCAGGTCCTCTGGAAGAAGAGCCAGTGCTCTTAACCTCTGAGCCATCTCTCCAGACCTATTTTATTTTATTTTCTAATATAGTTTGGAACCAGCACCTGCTTTAAGACCCAGAGCGTAAATGTGTAAGTTAAGTACCTACCAATCTGTGTGGCCTGTGGTGACTGGTGGGGAAAATGACCCTGGCTTATGTAACAGACAAACCTCTGGGATTGAGTTCTGAAAATACAAATTCAGAGTCCCGGCTCTCAAAATTTGTGACCTTTGGCATGTAAAGCTCCTCCCTAGGTCTTGATTTCCTCATCTGTAAAGTGGGGAGGCTGGACTAATTATCCTTTCATGTTCTTTTGGGTTGTTTCTAAGATTCACAATTTTAGGATTTCATTAATAATTCCTGGGCTCTACCGTGCAGTCCCTTTAAACTGATATTTATTTGCTTACTGAATAAGCAGCAGCGGTGGCTGCTATGAGGCCCACCCTCAGCCCTCCCAGATGTGCCCTGCATCACTTTATGAGAGCCAGGTGTTAGGTGAGAAAGGTAGGCAAGGCTGCCTGAGTGTCCTACCTTGTTGAGCGTGTTGAGGGCTGCCTGGGCTGCCATAAGGGCAGGCTCAGCTTTAGCCAGGTCCTCTTCACAGTCTCTCTGCTTCTGCTGCACCTCCAGCATGATCAGGGCCACCTTCTGCTCCTCCTCATCTGCGATGGCTTTCTCTCTGCTCACCTTGGTGGTCTCCACACCCACCACCTGAATTAGCTTGTCTGCATCTTCGTTCTTCTGCCTCAGCTCCACCTCCTGGGTGGCAAGCTTGGCTTTCAGATCATCCACCTGCATCACAGAACACAGGGCCCATCAGGAGCAGACCAGAGACATGGTGCTCACAGCTCCATGGACCTAATGCTGCAGAATAGAACTGAGAGCCCACTCATACACAGAGGTGGAAGGCTGCATTCTCAAAAAGAATCAACTCCCTGAACTGGAGGAAAAAAAGAAGAAAGAAAAAGCATGCAGGATACCCTTACATGTGGTGGACTTTCCTGAAATCCACATGCCTAGAACCTTCTCCTTGACACCCAAATGATGTGGGCTGCTTCTCACTGAATGAGTGCTTCTGTCCTTTAAAACTCCATGGGCCTACATCCATGTTTGCTGCTTGTACTATTCACAATTCCCAGGAACTGAAACCAGCCTAGGTGTCCATCAACTGGTAAATGTAGTGTATATAGACACACCGGAATTTTACTCAGCCGTAAAGAAAAGAAGAATCATGACATTTGCAGAAAATTTGATGAAAACTGGAAATGATTCCTTTAAGCAAAATAAGCCAGGGTCAAAAGAACAAATACCACATGTTTTTATCTTATATGCAGATCTGAGATTTAAAATCTCTCTCTCTCTCTCTCTCTGTCTCTCTGTCTCTCTGTCTCTCTGTCTCTCTCTCTCTCTCTCTCTCTCTCTCTCTCTCTGTGTGTGTGTGTGTGTGTGTGTGTGTGTGTGTGTGTGTGTGTGTGTTATAGGTCATAAAACTATAAAGGGGCTTCTGAGAGGGGAGGAAGAGGTCTTAAGGGAGGTGGAAATGAAGGATAATGAAGTAAGTACAGGAGCAGAAACTAGGAGAAGGAAGTAAAGTAGCTAGGGGTGGGGAGGGAGGGATGGTATCCTAGTTTATTTCTCTGTTTCTGGGATAAAATATTGACTAAAAGCAACTGGAGGAGGAAAGGGTTCTTCTTAAGGGTTACTGTTCTTAGGAGGAAGCCAGGGCAGGAGCTCAAGTCAGGAACTGAGACAGAGACCACAAAGGACATTGCCCACCGACTTGCTCTTCATGGCTCATGTTCAGCTACTTTTCTTATACAACTCAGGACCACCGGCCTAGGGTTGGCCCCACCCACAGTGGGCTGGGCCCCCCGTCAATTAGCAATGAAGAAAACGCCGCACAGACATGTCTACAATTCCTCAGTTGAGTTTCCCTCTTCCCAGGTGTCTCCAATGCGTGTGAAGGTGACAGAGAGTAACTGGTACAATGGCCGTGGGGGAGGGAAAAGGAGAGAAGTGTAATGATGCATGGGAAGAGGCCATGAGGAAACTCAATTCTTTCCCATGTAAATCTAAAAATTTACTGTTATTAATAAAATCCTTTATGTGCCTAACATCCTACTTCCCTGTGCTAGCTCCTTAGCAAGGATCAGTAGTTATGTCATTAAAATGATGTGTTGCCAGATGTGCTGAAGATTCACAAAAGGGAATGTCCACTCTGCAGCCTGAGAGTCCGAGTGTGTGAACGGACAGTGTCCGGGCCCTGTATACAAACAAGGTCAAGCTTGACCCATGACCTCCAGCAACTGTCTGGGGGGCCGACCCCTTACTTTCAAGAGAAATGAGAAGAGAGAGAGGTAACAAACTATGCACTCTCCCTCCACGCCCAGAACAAATTTAAAGGGAGTCTACGTGACACTGCCTAATGACTACCGCAAGAAGCCAGCCAGTTAGAGCTGTAGGCAATCTGATTGACATCTTGTAGCCACAATCCAGAAAGATAAATACTAACTCCTACAGCAGTATAGCAGTTGTCCTCAATGGCCAGAACCTGATTAATAATAGACAATTAACATTATTTTTTGTCACTCCCAATGTAGGTCCAAAGAAAGCCCTAACCCATCCCATTGAAGGCTGCTTTCTAGGGAAGCCTGCCTCTGCTTCCCCAGGTGAATACCCTCCAGCCAGGGCCTTCTCTTTCTGTACTACAAAGCTCCCGTCCCCTCCCTTTGGGTCTTGGCTAAAGACAAGCACAGCTGTGATGCCAGACTCCCTTGCTGTTAACAGGATCTGATTTGGAGGCTTTGGATAACCTCCACTTGTTTAGTCTTTACGAATTTCCACAACTCTTAAACCACAAATGGATGACCTTACAAAGATTAGACAGCCAGAGCACCAATGACCCTAGCCAGCTGGATTTCCCACACAGCCTCTGCTGTCAAATGTCATATGGAGGCATCATGAAGCCCCGTGAGTGGATTAGAGAGGGCAATCCACTCTCTGTGTCTCTTCAGATCAGCAGAGTGATGGTTTGAGACTGTGCTCACTGGACCAGCATCAGCATCACCACCACCATCATTACCATCATCAGCATCACCCAGGAACAAGTTGACTATGCAAAGACCCAGGTCCTACTCCAGCCCCTACTGAGACACAAACTCTGGAGGTAAGGCCTGGCGGCCTCTGTGGATTCCGATGCTAGCCTGCGTTTTGAGACTGGCTGATCTAGCATACTGGCCTTTTCAAGTGCAAAGGGAAGACAGACCTATTTATTCTGAAACGCTAAGAAACCGTTTGTGTTTGCAGTATGGCTCATAAACCTTACATTGCAGGCTGACCTCTTGCCTCTCATTTTCTTGCGGTCTATTGCATGCAACAACCACAGATTACTCCAGAGCTCCTGGAACACGTCAAACAGATTCGAGTGCTTTATGATGCAAAAATGCATAAGTCGAAAAATAAAACTGAGGCTTAGACGCCTCTGATAATTCCCCTTTCATGGCAGATCAAAAGAAAGAAAAGGAAAGGGGGCAAAAAAAGAATGTTCTTTAATTTTGTGTATTCATGGAAGCCGGAGCCTGTTTTAACCTCAAATAGAGGCTGCTCCTTGGAACGTGTCTTATATTCACGAGTTGGAAGGTTAATCTGCTTCCATCTCCCGTTGTTCAGCTGCAGAGTTACTTCTACAAGGACAAAGATGCAATTGTAAATCAAAATGATTGAGCTGCATAATCACCCAGTCAGCAAACACACCAGTAACTTTTTGTTTCTTTTTAAATCTTGAGAGATTTGAGAAAATTGAAGGTTTTTTTTTTCTTTTTCTTCTTCTTTTTTCTTTGTGGTTGTTTTGTTTTGCTGATTGCAGATATGGCTGTGACCTCAAGCCCAAGGTAAATAATCCTCTTCAGGATGAATAGGAGTTTAATAGCTCTTAAGCTGTGATATGGAGTGACAGCAGGCTCCTGCCAGTCAGGAGGAGGCCACTCCTTACTAACTACCGACAACAGGGAGCTCAGGTTCATTTTAGGATTCTTCAACAGAAAAAACAAGCTAGAGGAGACTGGTTTAGAGCTTTCTTGTTCTCTTGTGAAAGCATCCAAGCCACACTTTGCATGGCTCCTTACTTAATGCCACCAAAGCAGGAATATGAAAAAGATCTTAGGAACCTAGAAAAGACTCTTCCTACCATTCTGGGACTCCATTCTCAGGGAAACACCCTATGAGAGGGTGAAGGCATCAGGGCTGTGGCAGACCTTGGGTGTTTAAGGACCAAGCACATAGTGCCAAAGAGAGAGGCTTAACTTCTCTTGGCCTCCTCTCCAGAGCCCCAGAACCCGATGATGCTGAGAATTACAGGAGGTGAGAAGAGGCATATTTCCTGGACAAAAGTGTGTGCATCTTTCATGGTTGGAGTGGGTAACACTGGCTTCCTGTAGCTTAAGGTACTTGGGGAGGGCTGTGACCCAATCACCTCCTGGAGAAGGGCACTTAGGGTAACCAAGGGGTGGAAGTCCAGGGAATCTTTCTACCTCATTCATTCTCTACAATCAGCCAACTCTTCTTGTGAGAATTTGGACTTTGTATTAGTCACTTTTCTGTTGCTGCAATAGAACTCCATGACCAAGGCAACTTAATAGAAGGAAGGGACTGTTATTTGGGGCTCATGGTTCCAGAGGGATAGGGTTCATTGCCATCATGGGAGGGAAGCATGGCAGCAGGCAGCCATAGTGACTGGAGCTAGAAACAGAGCTGAGGGCTTACATCTTGAACCACAAACAAGAAGCAGAGAGAGCAAACTGAGGATAGGGGATGCTTTGAAACCTTAAAGCCTGCACCCTCAGTGATATACTTCCTTCAGCAAAGCCACACCTTCTAAGCCTGCCCAAATAGTCACCACTGGGGACTAAATACTCAAATTCCTGAGAATATGGGACCATCTCATTCAAACTACCACAGACTTTCAAGTATCTTCCCTCTCAGACACAGATGTGTCCCCTTTGTACCAGCGTGTTTAGTTTTCTAACACAAACATCTGATCTCTATTTAGGGAGCAGAGTTGTGTGTTTGCATTGGAGAACACCCCTCACCAAGTCCTTATAATTAGGATGACGCCATTCCAGTTGCCATTTGACCCTGAGTTGACCAATGAGGATCAAGATCACAGACTGACTCTGGGCAGAGTGGCTCCTCAGAGCCAATGGTTCTTCACCTGGGGATGTGGCTGAACATCCTGGGAAAAGGCATTGGGGTTGGTTGCCAGGCAGACATTATATAAGCCTGAGGTTGCTATGGGACAAGAGGTCACCTGTTTGAGCATAAGTGACAGAGAAAACAGCCAAGGAGGGGAGGAAGCCACAATGTATAAGGGTCTAGTGTGAGAAGCTAGTGCCAGCCTGAGCCAAATTAAACTCTACATGATATTTCAATTGCATGAATCAAGTCGTATTTTAAATTTTGTTTTGTTTTTTCTTAAACCAACTTAAATTTTGGTTGGTTAGTTATCAAAAGAGCCATGATAACTGTATCATGTAATTTAAAAAATTACAACACTACACTGTATTTAACCAACATAGGCAACATGTTATTTTAACACATAATTATAGAAAACTGCTAAGATATCTTACATCCCTTTTAGCGAATTACGTCTTCAAGTTCCTGGGTGTACATGATAACTCTAGCACACCTCAGTTTGGCTTAGCAACATTATTGTTGCTGGTGTTTTGAGACAGGGTCTCTATGTATAGTCCAGGCCAGTCTCAAATTCAGGATCTTTCAACCATAACTTCCTGAGT